AGTCTACTTGGCAGAGGCACCCCGCCTAGCATTTTGAAACAGCTGGAGATGCAGTAGGCAGAGGGTGACATAGGAAATGAGTGGTAGGAGACGTGGTCCTAGGACTAGGCCAGATCACTACTTCTTGCTGCAGTAGAGCCAGACTGTGACTGGTGGGAAGCCTTGGAACTGTTCGGAGTTAGAGAAGTAACATGAACTCACTTGTTTTAAAACAGTCATTCTGGGGGCGCCTGGGTGGCTCAGTGGGTTAAAGCCTCTAACTTCAGCTTAGGTCATGGTCCCAGGGTCCTGGGATCGAGCCCTGCATAGGGCTCTCTGCTCGGCAGGGAACCTGCTTCCTCCTCTCTCTCTGCCTGCCTCTCTGCCTACTTGTGATCTCTCTCTCTGTCAAATAAATAAATAAAATATTTAAAAAAATAATAAAACAATCATTCTGCCTGTTTTGTTGAAAACTCATCCCAGAGAAATAACTAAGAATGAAGTAGGGTGACTTTAAATTAAAAAAAAAAACAAAAAAGTAACAAAAAAAATAATATATGTTCTACTATCAGACTGCAAAGATGCTATTGATTAATCAATCACCTGTCAGCAGTAAAGTCCATACACGAGGACAGTAGTTTCAACTTTGCTGGCATAAGATGATCTCCTTGGTAGTTTTTAAAAATGCCAGTGCTGGAATACCCAAAGACATTCTGATTTAATTTGATTGGGCTGGGGTTTGGGACATTGATTTGTTCGTTTGCTTGTTTGTTTAAAGCTCTCCGGATCTCTCTAATGTGCAATCAGGATTGAGAACCATTGCTCTAGAGAAAAATATCGAAGACCAACAAAATGTCAATTTTATATTATAGCTAATTATACAGTGTTGTAGAAGAAAACAGATTGATGTGTAACATAAATTGTCCAGAAGTTCATTCTTCCTAGGGACTTTATAAGAATCTCAAAACTACTCAGTGCCCTGGACAACTTTAAAATCAGATCGGGGACCTCATTGTCTGAAGCAGGCATAACTCTTCTTAGATGTGTCAGTATCAAATGTCCTTTAGAGATCCCAAGCAGCCTCTCGATTCTGTTACTTGAATCAATTTGTACTACATTTATGACCTGATGGTGTTTTCTGGCAGGGAATTTCATAGGTTGGAAGTTTTAAACACAGTCATCTGCAACCAGACAACCCCCTTAATGATAGCCACAGAGGCCCCTGCAGATCTGCCTACACAGGGGTCCCTAGGAGCTAGTTACCAGAGCAATACAACAATATTATTTGCTATACGTAAACATGTGGACCTTCTAAGCCTCAGGCATAGCCATTATGTGAGGTCATGTGTGCTGATGTGATTTGTTGAAAGAAATAAACATAGAACTTCTTACTTACTGTGAAAACGATTCACTTGGCTTAGATCATGTGTGAGATAGAATTCTGTGTTTTGACTGTAAGAAAATAGAAATTATATTTTGACATTCGAAAGATGCTCTGTTGACTCAAATGTTCACAGGCATGTCCTGAAAACAGAAGAAATCAGTGTGACCTAAAAGAGCCAGCAGCATCGCTAATGAAGATCAGGCCTTTAAAATACACTAATCACCCCTTCCTCCCCTTTCCTGTTTTTGTTTCACCTTGATTAATGCTTTCATTCAAGGGAACACTGGGTCTGTTTGCTAGAGTCTTAAGTTCTGCACCTGTCAACTTATGGAACAATAGGAGTAGAGGGCAAAACTAGGTGGGAACTACGGAAATTTTGAGGACAGAATAGCTCAGCAGGTCATCTGAGCTTTTGGGAAATCTTTGTGATGTGATGAAAACGTTTTCAGTGTTTTAGGGTACATGCCTCAAGATGATTAACTCAAAACCTATGTGTCTATAAGTTAAAATATACTCTCTCAAAGTTTGCATTTTAACATATATTTTTAGAAATGCATATTTTTATTGATTATTTTATGTAAGAAACCCTCAGTCTCCTTTAACACAGAGCTGGGTCATTTAATGCTAATTTTCCTCCTAAAAGGTACAAATCATAGGGAAATTTCCTTTTTCAAACCTTAAATCTGTGAGCATCCAGTGACCAAATACATTCTCATATTTCTAGTAGTATGTGATTTTTTTAAGACGTTTTATGCATTTTGGCAATGTGTCAAACAAATAAGCCATTATAACATCAAGCATCTTTTACATGGCACTGGATCTTAAAGACAGAGCGATGGAACAGAGCTTTGGGAAAACACAATTTCCTCTTCAGCTTGTCTGTTTTCTGCATTGTCCAGTTGCTGTGTGCTAAAAAGCTGCTTACAAAAAAATTTTTTTTAAGTTTTTTAGTTACTCCTAAAGGGACTTTTAAATTTTATAAAGCTCCAATTGTCCAGACAATGATTTAAAAAAATCTAAGAATCTGTTTTTATGAGAGAGTCTGGAAAAGTGAAAATAAGACTGAAAAAGGGTGAGTGCTTTGGGTATGCTTACCCAGTTTCTCATTTCAAGGATTAGTCTTCATAGGTAATTGAATACAGGACAGTAAAATTTGATATAATGTTATTTTCAAGAAAAGCACAAACCTGCTGACCTAATACAATAAGCCCAAATCAGGAGTATTAGTCTCTTTTTCCAGTTTATCTCTGCAGAACACATGTTTCCTATATACATTGGACAATATGAAAGGAAAAAAAAGTGGGAAGCAAGATACCTGGATTCTGGTCCCTACTTCCCATAATCAGTTTGGGAAAAGTAACTGTTATTTCTGTAGCCCTGAATATCCTCATTTATAATTGCAAAAGTTGTACCGGAGCTCCAAAATTCCTTATCTAAGCTCTTTCTTGATTAACTTTCCATTTGTACTCCTCAGTAAGTTTATCAGAGAATGTGTCTTTTTGTTTCCTAGGGCTGTGTAACAAAGTATCACAAACTGAGTGCCTTAAAACAGATTTCTGACTTCTTATAAAGACACCAGTCATTGGATTAGGGCCTACCATAATCCAGTCTGACCTCATCTTAACTTGATTATATCGGCAAAGACCCTATTTCCAAATAAGGTCACGCACAGTACCAGGGATAAAGACTTCAGGATATCCTCTGGGGAACACAATTCAGCCAAGAACAATGTGTATGAAACCACTCAGCTACCTAAGATTATGTTTAAGTGAGATGGAATTAGAATATTTACTCTCTGGTCTGTATTTCATGCCCGTTTGTTTGCCATGTCCAATAAAGCAGCCTACAAATTCAAGGAATAGTTAGATTTATTGATAGAGGCAGAGAGAAATTTTACCTCATTTTTTTCTAATAAAACTCCCGCCTATTCCAACTCATTATTATCCACTTTGATAAATTGTCAAATCTTGCTGTACATTTTTATTAAATACTTAAGTATATCTTGGATTCCCCAGTCTTAAAAGGAATTATATTTTTTATCTGCCTCTCCCCCCAAGTCTAGTCTGGTTTCTTGTATACCACAAATATTCAATATTGACTCAATTGATAGAATAGCACAGTAGTTATGGGATTCAATTTCATCTTGCCAACACCCACCCAAAGTCCTCAGCCACATCATCTTTCTGTCACTCCCTTTCTTTCTTGTACTGCCATGCACATGCACGCGCACACACACACACACACACACAGTACATTCCCGTTGTTTATTCCTGTGCCTGCACAATTTTACAGCTCCAAAGATAATGCTAATAAATTTTTTGGATTGAAAATGGGAAACTGAAACTACTGGCTTCTTCTAATTATGCTTAAATCTAGAGCAGTGACATGTTGGGTTATGGAGATCTCTTTTGTAAAGAGAACAGTGGCTTAGAAGTCATTATATGCTGAATCTGTTGCTAGCTAGTTACAGGAGCACTATCTGGAATATCATCCTCATTTGTAACACTCTAGAATTAGTTTGTTATCAAGTCCATGATTAAATTAGAGTTTGTTATCAAATTCTTGATTCTGTAGGAACAGCCACTTTTCTTTCTCCTTCCAGTGAACACAGAGTAATTGGGGAAAACTTTATCATTTTTTATAATTGTTCCCAAAAAAGAGGTTTTTTGGGGGGGGTTATTTGTTTTTTGAAACAACAGAGCATGTCTTGTAAAATTTATAGGCCCAAAGTACCCTGACGTCATACATAATGGAAGATAACAGCCTGAATCTGAATGTAACTACATAATCTCATTTCAGTATGTGAGTCTTAGAGATAAAATGAGTCATTTACTTGCCATTTCTAAGGAAGAAAGCTTGAGTCATGCAACTTATAATAGGATTTGCCACTTAAATATTTGACAATTAATCAGAAAAACAGACTTAATTGTTAACTCTTCACACACACGACAGACATTTGTGATTGGTTTATGTGAGAATCACTTGGTTGTTTTTTTTTATTTCTTACTTGTTTTTTTAAAATTTATTTATTTATTTTTTATTTCACTTGTTTTTTTTTTTAAAGATTTATTTATTTATTCCAGAGAGAGAGTGTGAGTGGAGAGTGTGAGATCTTGAGAAAATCTCAAGCAAACTCCCCACTGAGCAAGGAGCCTGTAACCAGGGCTCAATCCCAAAACCCTAAGATCATTACCTCAGCCAAAATCAGGAGTCAGGCTCTCCACTCAGCAGCAAGTTGGCTTCTCCCTCTCCATCTGTAATCTCGCTCAGTTTTGCTCTCTCTCAAATAAAAAAACAAGTAAAATCTTAAAGAAAACAACAACAACAACAAGGACATTTGATAAGAAGACAGAAAATCCCCACTAACATACATGTGGACAAATACAAGAGCTATAATGAAATGTTGCGTATCAGTTTCTAAGATCTGGTTGAAAAATATTCCTTCCTTTGGACTCATTTTCTATATTAACTATAGTGGAAATCTGTTACCTTTTATGTGCTCAGATTTTTTTAATTCCTGTATCTGCTCTACTTGGCTTTAGTAGACTGTCAAGCACATGTCTCCCTTCCTTCCACTCTGCTCCCCCTCATTCCCACCAATTACCTCTCCTGTGCCTTACAGATGGGTAAGCATGTCACCCATTCTGGCCAGACAAACCTTATCAACCTGCCCAGGTTAGACAGTTTGGGGTTTTGTTTTTTGTTTTTGTTTTCCTGAGAGAAATTTTCAATTAGCAGTAATCACACCTCATTGGCTACGATACTGCCACTGTGCAAAGCTTCCTGAAAGAACTTTTATTAATAAAGATTGCTTTGAGATTATCTTGAGCTCAGGGTTAAGTCTTGAGCCCCAGGTGGCCATGTTTGCCATCATATCGAGAAAGCTTACCTGGACATGAATTTGTCACACAGACAAGAGAGAAAGAGCTGTGGATAACTTTGCTTGATTCCTAAATGCATCTGTGCCAAAATCTACCTCTTGGACTTCTCGGTTATATCCTCAATACTTTTTCTTCCCTCTTAACCTGGTTTGAGTAATATTTCTATGTAGGACAAATAAAATATCTCAAACTAATGCCATAACCTAATCAACCCTCACTTGAATTTCAACTGACATGGAAGAATTAATTATAGATTTTATAGCTTATCCTTATTTGTTTTGTATTCATTCTCTTTTTTTCATTTATCAATGTTCTTCATGCAACTAGGTGTAACAACAATTGATTGCTTATGCCATGTTATAATGCTTTTAAACTTCAAATTATATTGTGAATTTTCTTCTATCTCAATAATTATCTATCCATCATATAACCCATTGTTGGGAATTTGTGGCAATATAATAGATATTACAAAAAAAAGTCTTGTAGTTTATAAAATTCTATATTTTATAACATTAAGATTGAGAATTTCTGAGAAATATGATATTGATTCTTCTCAGCCTTTCCATTGTATAGGATCAGTTACTAAGTTCCTTAGACTGAAGTGTTTCAGGTAATTTTACCTATTTTTCATTCAATGGAAAAAGGGCATTTCCAACTTGAACCTCTACTTTTCACCTTCAAAACTATGGTAGAGATTTTTAGTAAGTACAGCCTCAAATCCTAAAAGGCATTTCTCCCTTCCTTCCTTTCTTTCATTCTTTCTCTCTCTCTTTTCTTTTCTTTTCTCTTTTCTTTCCTTCCCTTCCTCCTTTCCTTTCCTTTCTTTCTTTCTTTCTTTCTTTCTTTCTTTCTTTCTTTCTTTCCTTTCTTTCTTTCTTTCTTTCTTTCTTTCTTTCTTTCTTTCTCTCTTTCTTTCTAAGAGAGAGCCAAGTGTATATATATGGAGGTGTGGGGAGGGGCAAAGGGTGAGAGAAAATCTTAAGCAGGCTCCATGCTGGGGGTTCTGACTTGGGGCTCAGTCTCACAACTCTGGGAGATCATGACCTGAAACAAAATCAAGAGTCTGACGTTTAACCAACTGAGCCACCCAGGAACCACTAAAAGATATTTTTCAAAATACTGACTTAAGGTATCTCAGTGGTCTGTGGTCCTCAAGTGTATTTCCTGCTATACTCCAATGAATAAGTGAGGAGCTTCCTGGATTCTAATGCATGATTGTCACGTAGCACCTATCACAAATTAAATGTCCAATATTCATATCTCCTGATTGAGAGTAATTCATCAGAATTGGAAATACAGGTCACATTTCTGTTTCTTATGCCAGCATTTACTTTTAGATCTTTTTTTAGAATCTATTTGATTTTTTTATGGGTCTTTATTTCTCAAAGACCACTGTTTCAGATAAACCTATTGGATCTGAATCTCAGTTGTAAGGGAGTGAGGAATTTGCATTTCCAAAAACTTCCCACATAACTATCATGCATTCTCTAATTTGAGAACTATTGATGGAAGCAAGAACCTTAGTTTCACATTGGAATTACTTAGGGAACTTCATAAAATACTGATGCCTAGATCCCACTTCCAGAAGTTCTGATGTAATTATTCAAGACTGTAGCCTGAACATCAGGATTTTTAAAAGAACTTTTGAAATCCGGGGGTGATTCTGTTTAGTCAAGGTTAAGAATCACTTAGGTGGGGGCACCTGGCTGGCTCAGCCGGTTAAGTGTCTGCCTTCGGATCAGATCATGACCCCAGGGTCCTGGGATGGAGCCCTACATCGGGCTCCTGGCTCAGCAGGTAGCCTTTTTCTCCCTCTCCTTCTTCCTGCTGCTCCCTCTGCTTGTGCACACACCCTCTCACTCTCATGATGTCTCTCTGTCAAATAAATAAATAAAATCTTAAAAAAAAAAAAAAAGAATCACTTGGGTAGTCATACAAGCATCAGGTAGCATTTTTTAAAAAATGAAAGCTATCAAAAACAAATGGAGACTTAACCTTTGAACTTTTTGTTACTTAGTAACTAATAAAGTATTTAAGCATGATTAAATATCAGCATATTTTCCAAATAAATATTATGGCTTTTTTGGACTTATTCTTAGTTGATAATATTTTTATGTGAACTTTCTGGGCAAGTCAAAGAATTTTTTTTAAATCTAGATGTCCTATCATTATAAGAGGTACCATAAGAAATGCAAGATTGCTTCCAATAAATAAAAATAGACTTACTGAGTATTACTGTATGCCCTGCATATGGTGGGCATAACCAAAAAAAGAGACATAAACTGTCCCTTTTATGCTTTCACTGTTAGGAAGCTCAAAGTTTTGCTGTGTAATGGCAGCAACTGTGTATCGCTCCATTTTTGGTATTTTACTTCTTTTTTTTTTTTTAAGATTTTATTTATCTATCTGACAGAGAGAGAGAGAGATCACAAGTAGGCAGAGAGGCAGAGAGAGGGGGAAGCAGGCTCCCTGCTGAGCAGAGAGCCCAATGTGGGGCTCGATCCCAGGACCTTTGGATCATGACCTGAGCTGAAGGCAGAGGCTTAACCCACTGAGCCACCCAGGCACCCGGGTATTTTACTTCTCTTCACACTCTATATCAGTGGTGTCAGCCAGAGGTACATAGAGAATCACCACGGGAAAAAAATTTTTTTTTTTTTAAGTACAAAAGCCTGGACCTTATCCAAGATCTATTAAACCAGAACTTACAGGAGTAAGGGCCAGATATTTACATTGTATAAAGCAGTAGTTGAACCTTATGTGCACTGGTGTTTCAAATCACTCCTCTACATCACTGGGTTTCAAACCTCAGTGTTTGTAAGAATCATCTAGGGCACTTGGTAATCTGAAATGTCCAGTCTCGCCCACTGTGATTTAGTAAGCCTTGAAGGAGACCTGTGATCTGGCAGTTCTAAAAAGCATCACAGTGTTTCTGCCACAGCCGTTCCATGAGCCACGCCTTAAATACCACTCTGGGATGTGCGTTTTATCTTATCATTTCATTTTATTGTTATGACGTGTTTGCCCATTTTATCACAAGCCAGAAAAGTTTTCTCTAATGATTAAAATCAAAGCCTTCAGAGTAATAAAAGTCCTCAACCTTCATTGAATCCAGTGGTTTTTCTGGATTCCTGTGTAACTTTATGATTAGGCAGAGATTCTAGGAAGAGTAGAATGACAGAGAAGGGGAAAGTCTCTACCTTCCCTCACCCCATCATGTTGCTCTAGAGCCCTACCTTTGATCTCTGCTGTATATTGGGTTATTGTATAATATAGTCTTTGAAGAAATGGTTCTTCATCTTCAAAATATTTGAAAACCACGAATTAGTCCAATGTTTGTATTTCACAGATGAGATAACCAAGTCCTTAGACAAGTTTTTATTGCTAACCATGAGCACAAAGCTAGAAAATGTGAGAGCCTACTAAAGCAGAAAACAAGAAAATAAAATAAAAATTTACAAAATACTAATAAGATGTCTCCTGTTCTCAAAGAAACTAAAGTGTAACTGTAAGGCAAGAATGGCAGAAATAAAATAAGAAACAGTACTAGTGCAAATTATATTCTGTAGTATGTGCTTTTGGGATGATTACAACAGGCCTTATGAAGAAAGCAGAACTTCAACTAGGCTGGAATTGGAGTAAGAATTATAAAGAAAGGGAACACATGGATGTGCCCTTGCTTGAAGGAGGACCTTAGCATGGCATGAGAGTACGCTAAGGAAGAGACTGGGCTACATGGGCCTATAAGCTCTGGGTTGAGGAAAAGGGAAAATCAAGTTGGAATGATGGCTTAGGATCAGTGTATGAAAGAACTTTTGAAGAACAGTATGAGTAGTTCCCTTCTAACCTATTTCCTAATTTCTTAATGTTCTTAATTCCTTTCTGACTCTATTCAGAAAAATTATCCTAAAATGCTGTCAAATAAACAGAAGAAAATAACCAGCAGAACACTCATTGGCTTTCTGGAATGGAATATATTGGGGTAAACTCAGAAGTGGCAGCAGGCATGCATTTCCACCACTGTCCATCACATTGAAGTACAATACATTGGGATCCAGCTAAAACAGACATTAAATTCTGCAAAAAAAATGGAATTGGAGCCAAACGGCCATATGACGTTGCAGAACCTTTGGCCTCCAGCCTTGTTTTACCATCCCAGAATTCCTTCCTTGGGGAATACCAGCCCTTTCCCTGGAATTATAATGGGGCTAGGGTCCATGATAGTCCTGGTGAATTCCAGATCTTTTCCACCATCTTCACATTCTACTCACTTGCAACTCAAGGGGCTTTTTAAAGATCAGCATCATTAGTACCACCTTAAAATTTGTTAGAAATTCGGAATCTCAGGCCCCAATACAGACCTACTAAATTAGAATCTAGTGTTTTAACAAGATCTCTAGGATATTTGTATGTCCCTTCAAGTTTGACAAACACTGCTTTTTAAAAATTGATTAACTTCAGGGCACCTGGGTGGCTCAGTCTGTTAAGTGTCTAACTCTTGACTCTTGATTTTGGCTCAGGTCATGATCTCAGGGTCTTGTGGTCGAGCCTGTGTTGGGTTCCATGGTCAGTGTGCAGTCTGCTTCAAAGTATCTCCCTCTGCCCCTCTGCGCTCTCTCTCTCTCTCACAAATAAAATAAATAAAATCCTTAAAATTGGTTTACTTTAGCATTAGCTATGGCTTGTCTCTAGAGAACTCTTTGGAGGTTATTTCCACTTAGAAGTCTACCCTGTACGAAATTCATCTTAGACAACTTAGTTCTTACCTCTGAGACTCAACAGATGGAGGGTGCCCCATAATCCCCTGGGGAGCATCTTTTCTTCCAAACTCAAGTCACCGTGGAGTAGTTGGGTCAGCATTCCTCAAAATACTCGTCTGTGAAAAACAAACAAATGGAGA